GATGGTGATGGTGGGGGTGGGGGTGGAGAGTAAACTGGTGGGGGCGGCGGAGGGGGTGAGGGCGGTGGAGGTGAAGGCGGCGGAGGAGATGGGGGAGGTGGGGGCGGGGGAGAAGGCGGAGGTGGGGAAGGTGGTGGTGGGGGAGGAGAGTAGACAGGCGGCGGTGGAGAAGGCGGAGGTGGGGAAGGTGGAGGCGGGGGAGGGGGAGAGTGTGGTCGGTAAATGGGGTGTGAATCCCAGTCAGGTGGCGGCGGAGATGGAACAACAACAGGTGGCGGAGAAGGCACCACCACAGGTGGCGACGGAGCAACATAAGAAGGACATCCAAAAGAACTGCAATCCACAGGCTTAGACAAGAACGACTTACATTGCCTCTCCGAACGTTGCACCGGCCGCTTCGGAATACAGTTCCTCCGATCATCAAAGCCCGGCAACGCCAAGCACGACGGCGCTTCTCCAGTAAAGAAATTATACGAATAGGTAAAGTTCTTCAGATTCGGCAACTTACAGATACTCTCCGGAACCTTCCCGGACAAGAAATTATGCGCCACATTCAGCTGCTCTAAACTCACCATTCCACCGATCGTTTCCGGCAACGCCCCAAGAAACTCATTAAAACTCACATCCAACACCGTCAGATTCTTCAGCAACCCAATCTCCGCAGGCAAACACGACCGAAACCCATTGTTCATCAAAATAATCTCATTCAACCTCGTCATATTCCCAATACTCCCCGGTACACAGCCGTGAAATTTGTTATTCGCAAGAACAATCACCGAAACCGGCGAGTTCCCGAAATTTTCCGGCAAGTCAAACCGGAATCTATTGTGATTGATGAAAATGGCGTCCAAATCCTTGTCGAAAAGCTCTTTAGGAACGGTCCCTTCAAACTCATTGAACCTCAGATCCAAAAACTTCAGCTCCGGCAGCTCGAGAACCACCCGAGGGAACTTTCCGGCGAAGCGATTGTTGCTCAGATCCAACTCGAACAGCATCTTCAAGTGCTTAAACTTGTGAGGCACAGTGCCGCAAAACCGGTTGGAGTTGATATGGAACAATGCAAGATCCACAAGAAGGCCGAGCTCCTCCGGCAAGTAGCCGGCAATGTCGCCATGGTTGAGGTCGATTCCGGCAACTGTACGGATCGAGGAATTATCCGGCGCCTCAGCACAGAAAACCCCTTTGTAACTACAAACATCAGATCCAACCCAATTAAGAGTAAGATTCAAAGGGTCAGATAGAATCGCTTGCTTCCAAGCTTGTAAAGCTATGTAAGCATTTCTAAGCCTGTCGTTTTCAAAAACCAGCTTAGGATCGACGGTGACTTCTTCACCACGGTCGCCAAATTCATCTCTGTAGTAAAGAAGTTGCCGTTGACGGATGTAGTGAGCTTCAGCGTCGGTCAGTCCGCCGCCGCCGCCATGGCCGGAAACTTGAAGAAACTCTTCAGAAGAAGCTAGGCACAAAAGAGTGCCGAAGAAGAGGAAAATTTGAAGCAAAGAATGAATGGTGAAATGGGTATCGCTCTTCATCTCATATGCGAGACATCTGATTCAACAAAATGCCGAAATTCTTCTATGAAATCTGTCTCAAGCTCGAAGAAATGCCTATTTTTTGGGTATTTTTTTTGCAGAAAAATGGCTCAAATCCCTCGTTGAGATCTGAGCTTGAAAATGTAGAAGAAGAAAGAGAAGAGGATAGAGAAGGCCTGAGAGTGGAGCGGAGAGATAAAGAGAGGATTTTAGGGGTTCGTTTCTAGGGATTTTGGAGATGTGTGAGAGAGAAATAATACGCGAAAAAAGGGCCAGCTATGTTACAGCTCAAAGCCCACCATATTCTTTTTTTTTCTTTCTTAGGATTTATTCCCTTGTTTTCCCCTTCATATTCCTTGAACCTTCTTCTTCTTTATTTATTTATTTATTTATTTACTTTAATTTTTAAGCATTTCTTTACATTTTGATACCCAAAATCATTTCAATCATTACCGTTAATATTTTAATACAAATATTTAATCTTATCAAATTCAAATACCTGGTTAATTAATGTCATATTTAATTAAATGAATTTTTTCAAAATAATCGAATTAAACATAATCTAGTAGATAATGTTGGATGATAAAAGTCCTACATCTGCTAATTTAGTGAATAATCATGAGTTTATAATAAAAGAATACTTCCAGTCCTTTTAGGGAATCTCAAAGTAAAGCCATGAGAACTTAGACTCAAAATGAACAATATGATATGACTGTGGAGAGTCTTCGAACAATATGATACCTTTGTGGAGAAAATAAATATGAAAATTAAAGGGTTTTTATTAAATTATTTTGAATTGGTATGCAATTTCCTATTCCTCATTCAACTCTCCAAGCCAACGCTTGGAATAAATCATAGACACGTCATCTTTGAAAAATCAAGTTGTTCCAAAGCATGGTGATGAAATATTGAAAACTATTAATTAACGAGAGTCGGTGGTGGTGCCGTCAGCCGGCGCTGGGTTGACCGGATAAAATAAATTCCGGCGAGTTTCTGCGGCGGGCCGGAAATATCACGAGAAATTCGTGGAATTTCTCGTGAGAAATTCAAGAGTGGAGTAAATTTTTTGGTGTTTAGAGAGAGAGGGATGAGCAAGAAGTAAATGAGGTGGGCGTCACGTTGGGTAAGGAATTTATTTGAAATTTTTTTAAAAAATAAATAATAAAATGAAAATAGATAATAAATTAATTGTTCAAAACTGTTTTTTCCCGACTACCGATGCTCACGGGAGGGTAAAGACTTCATGCCGTTCATGTTCCATTATTTTTATTTTTAATTTATATTTGAAATTTGAAATTAAGCTTTTTGTACAAATTTAAAGGGAGAATCAAAATGGTTTTGTTCTTTTACCGAATTGTCCGTTCTTTCAATCAACATTTTAATCATTGCACTAAAATAAATGTTAAATTATAGACAATGTCGTCCAATGCTGAAAAACACCCTTGAATTTAAAAAACAATGTTAAAATTATTAAATTTTAGATATAAAATATTCAAATTTATTCTAATAATACTTTAAAAATACGACTTTTAAAAATATATTTCGTTAAATTTTTTTAAATATACATTGAAGTTTCGTTAATATCCTTAATATTTAATTGTGCTTATAAGAGACCGGTAACAAATATGTGTATAATGATAAATGAATTTTAAATGAAGAATGATAAATTTAGAGATGGTTTTTCACTCCCACAATTTGACACGTCCAATTCAAGCATTGGGTAGTTGTGTTTTAAACAAACTCAAGCTAAAAATTGAACCCATAAAGCAAATTGACTACAAATTATCTTTCGTTTACTGAGAGTGAGTCTCACATTGGTTAATCTAGTGGAAGATCATGAATTTATAGATATGAATACTATCTCCATTAGTATGAGGCATTTTGGGAAGCCCAAAGCAAAACCATGAGAGCTTATGTTCAAACTGAACAATATCATACCGTTGTGGAGAGTCATGATTCCTAACAATCTCCATACAATTAAATTTTGGAAGATATAAAATGGCAAACACAACTATGCTCAATTGTATACAAGTAGATGGAAAATTGGTCAACTTCAACTAGTTATGACATCACAACTTATTTTTTAAATAAAACGCGTCAAATTTAAAAGATTAATAAAAATTGGCATACATAATGCAAAATAATTACCAGTATATATATATATATATATATATAGAAACATGGATAGATGTTAAAGCTACAATATTACACATGATTTTTCATAAAATTTTCAAATCCACCATAGACATTAAATACAAAAGAAACTCTGTATTCTATATATATATTTAATTGAAAGGGTAATATAGACATTAAAAATTCAGCAGAAAGGACACGTAAACGTAACAAGCGAATTAAGACATGCGTTACTTTCATAAATCCACAAACAACCCTACATTTATTAACCGAGTCTAAATCATCGTCACCACGGTTTTGATCTGCTGCTGGCATTTATATGAGAGCTGGTGCTGCTCCATCCTCATGATTTCGTGGAATCAACGGCGATCACCGAAGATCAACGGTAGAAAACAGATGCCAGGTCTGATCATATCAACTCGCCACGCTAAGAAAGCAACAAACAAACGCCAGTTTGGACGTGGGTCCCACGCGGTCATTCGCTGGATCGTCGGCGCTGATGTGGGCCCCACGTTAGCGTGGTGCACCGCGTCCACATTCTTGTCAACGCGCCCAGTTTTACCTTTTACTCTCTCTTTTTTTCTTTTAATTAAAAAATATTAAAAGTATCACTTTAGTTTTATAATTGAATTTAATTTACCTGCTTCCAAAAATATATATATATATGCATTAAATGATGTGATACTTAAAAATATATAAATTTTAGGGCGATAATTTTTATCAAGGCTTTTCATAATAGTATGATATTGTACAATTTGAGCATAAACTCTCGTGGTTTGGTTTTGCTTTGGGATTCCCCAAAAGATTTAAGACATGATTTTGTTCACTTTGAGCACAAGCTCTCGTGGCTTTGCTTTGGGCTTCCCCAAAAAGTCTCATACAAATGGAGAAAAGATTCTTTGTTTATAAACTCATGATTATTCCCTAAATTAGCCGATATGAGATTTTTATCATCCATAATTTTATCATAAAAACTCCAAGTGAAATACAGTTAACTTAGAGCAATCACGTGTTAGACAATTTTTTAAAACTTCTTTTAACGAAACATGTAAATGAAGATAAAATATATATAAAAAAAAGTGTTAATTGGTTTATATAGATAGTTTTTACTGTTAAAAGGTTCAAAACTAATAGATAATATAACTATGGTGCAGATAATAACCGTCGAGGTAAATTTTGGTCTAAATATTAGACATGTTACGTTACAAATTTGGTCAAATAATAATTTTTATGAATATATATATATATATATATATATACACTTACCATATAAATGTATCTTTAAAATTTATTGAAAGAACTATAATATAAATATTTTTTTTTCCAGAAAACTTATTAGACACGTCAGCCTACGGAGGGACTTTTACACTATTGGACCCAATTTTTATTTCTTGGATTAAAGTTGGATTTTGATTCTTATTTTCCATATTAATATTATGAAAATGAAATATATCCCCAAATTGCTCACTCATTTTAAGGAAATTACAGTTTTGAATTTCTGTGCCATTCTTTTATTTATATGTATATTTATTATAACGTAAGTTGGGGGTTTTGGGTTTATCTTTTTGATAAAATTAATGTTGACCCATATATTAATTTAACAAAAAATTAACATTGAAAAAAAAAAAAAAAAAACCAATGGCCGGACAAAACCACTATACTAAAATAGAAATTAAATCAGCAAACACTTAGAAAATTATTCAATATATTCGTCACATTTTCGTTGTAACTTTATATATATATATATATATAATAATTTTGGATTTATTGTGATAAATGATTAAATTTAAAATTTAATAATTTTGTCATGTATACTTAAAAATAGTTTTGCTATCTATCTATTATTGGATTTGTATTATTGTCGCTATAAAATTCATAAATAAAGCATTTAATAGTGGATTTATTACTATTCTTATAATGACGAATCTTGTCGGGTTCTAAAATATTAATAATATTTTTAAAAATTTTAAGAATATTATTAAAACATTTTAAAGGAGTAATTTTTTTAAAATTTTAATTTAGTACTCAGCCATTTAAATAAATAAATAAATATATATATATATATGTTTTATAGAGGACTTGATGATAGAGAAAAATAAATATACTCTTTTTTTAACCCATTTTTAAAAGGCTTCTTCGAGCAATTTTTGCACAATATGAAGAAAGGAATTTTCAACTATTCTCAATATTCATTTCACTATTTATTTATTTTTAATATTCAAGTCAACCATTTTCGAATCAAACAAATGGAATAATATAGTGAATAGCTAATCCCTATCATAAAATTTTTCGTCCTTCGAAGATTACGAGTATAATAGGAGCATTCGTTGACAAAATTATCACCTTAAGTTGATCATCACATAAGAATATTTAATATTCAATTATAGTTTATCATACATATCATATTTGATATTTTATTATAAGTTAAATATATTTATTTAAAAAAAATAAAATATAAATTAGCATATTATATAAGGATGTTCAATCCTTCCGCCTTGCAATTATTGAAACAAAACAAAAATCTTATTCTAAATGAACATAGCCAAAACGCAGTCATATTGTCCCCAAAAATGTCAAAAGACAACATGGGTAACATCGAATGAGAGTTGGGGGGCCAAAAAACGAGCTAGAATCCTATGGTGCGTACAGATCATAGGCCTCGACATTCTCCTGCATCCCTTGCGTCATGATCACGTTACTTATTCATCACTTCTAAGAGTGAAAACTGCTCCACAAACTAATTCGAGTCCTTCAAGCATGATTTGTCCTCATTCACATGTATTCTATAACAATTTTCACGAAAACAATGTTAGTTAAGACATACTTAAAATAATTGAAAATTATTACCTACATCAATAAGGTACGTCTTGTTTTTCGTTTGTTTCATTCTATTTTGGGTGACATCATTATAAATTATAAAAATAAACAATAATGGTTTATTGTTATACCAATTAAGATCTCTCTCTCATTTTTCTTTTATTTATTAATTTAAACTTTATATATTTTTTTTAGTAATTTGATGTATAACACGAAAAGAATAAATAAATTATAAAAGAAGAAAAGGCAAAAACGCGTAGGAAAAAAAAATGGATAAAGAAATTAAAAAATAAACAAATAAAAAG